CACCCACACCCACACCCACACCCACACCCACACCCACACCCACACCCACACCCGCACCCGCACCCGCACCCGCACCCGCACCCGCACCCGCACCCGCACCCGCGCGGCGCGCGCGTGGTCACACACACACGGACAGAGACAATCACGCCCACACACCACACCCACACACCACACACCACAGCCCGCACCCACCTGCACGCCCACACAAACACGCACCCATGCACTTAGACACCTGTACACCCACACACCCACGCGCTGCACACCCACACACCCACGCTCCCACGCACCCACACACCCACACACCCACACACCCACGCGCGACGCCGCACTCACAACACACAACACATGCAAACGCGCCGACATGTAAACACACAGGCACTCAAACTTACTGACACACACACACAAGTGTATCTTCATGTGCGTACACATATGTATATATACATTTTACTTTATAGATTTGCATGCGTGCAACTGCATGCATGCATATGCACAAGCATATGTCGGATCTGGTCTTCGTATTTGCATGTTCACGAGCAGACATGCATGCACACATAATCGCACTTATGCATGCTTGTACATGTATGAATCGAACATTGTACACATACATTCAGTACAGAATGTGTATAGGCATATATGTCTGCCCATGCATAGAGACAGACCAGAGACAGACAGGCAGGCAGGCAAGCAGACAGGCAGGCAGGCAGGTATACATACCCACGTACGCTATTTTATGCATACCGTTCGGATTTGACAGTTCGTGGCCACATCTGATAATGCTGCATTGTGCAATTGCTTGAAGGCCTCTTTCCAACAAAACTTTGCGAGTCAGTTTCAAAACCCACAGTGTGGTTGGCCTTTGGCACTGAGGGACATCACCGGCAAGTGTCCGCAGGCCGGGCTCGGGAACGGCGGGTCAGACACGCAAACTTTAAATCTGAAGCCTTCAACATTGAAACTTGATGTTGGCAGGGTCGAAATGTGGACGTGGGTGACAGGGTTGCAGCTGTACAGCAGACCGCGCGAACAGGAGCACACAAATCGTTTAAAGCATTCAAGCCCCAAACACTACAATCGACGGGGTACAGACAAATACATAAATACGTGAATTGTGTGCAACTGCATATGTGTATGTAAAATGTGTGCCGCATACAGCCCCAGATGTTATAAGCCGAATAGATAGAGGACCCCTGTGACAAGACCCACGAATCACATAAGCTAGAGGATATCCGAAGCTTCGCCGTTGACTCTCTAACCCGAAAGCCCAAAGTCTTAAGATCCAATCCAAACCGTAGACCTTGCGGCGCTAGAGACATTAACCCAAGCACCCATGCCTAAAATCTCAGCAAAGCCTACAGCCCTTAACGGTAATACCCAAACCCTAAGAATCAAAACCCTACAGCCCTCCGCCTAAAACCGCCGAAGCCCAAAGCCCCAAACCTGCGCACACCACATTCCTGAATCCCTGTACAGCAGGGCCCATATAAAGGAAATAACCCAAAAACTTTGAACCTTAAGCTCTACCTGGGTACTTAAGGAAGGGGGTAACCCTAAACCCGAAACCCCTAAACCCCAAACCCCTAAACCCTAAACCCTTAAACCCTGACTGGGTGTTACAGTATGACCTCCCAGGAAACCCTGAACCCGAGCCTTGAACATGCAGGTTCCAGCTTCTTGGGCGAAGAAGAGGACGGATCCTAAAGGGGACCCCAATCTGGAGAACAACTTATATATTATAAGGGACATGCTTGTGGTTTACGATTTCATATGTGCTCTATATGGGTAGTTCTCTAAATTCGGGTCCCTCTTTAAATCTGAAACATAGTACGGCACCCTTTTAAAAAGCACCCTAAACGGGACCCTAATTTGGAGAACTACCTATATGTTATAGGGTCAGAAGGACTTTTATGAAGGTGTTTATCGGGGTGCAAGGTTGAGGGGTTCGGGGCCGAAAGGTTCAAAGCCCCGAAGCCAACATAACCCGCAAGCCACAAAAGCAAATACATATATCTTTATATGGATTCAGACAGGCAGGTAGGTAAGTATGTATGTGTGTATGCAAGGATGCTTGCGAAGATGCATGTATGTTGCATGTATGTATGTATGTATGTATGTAGGTAGGTAGGTAGGTAGGTAGGTAGGTAGGTATATATGTAGGTGTGCATGCAAGGGTGTTTGCAAGGATGCACGCATGCACGTATGTGTGTATGTTCACAAATAATTTTGCAAGCAAATATGCAAGTAAGCAACCAGGTACGCCAGTAAGTAAGCAAACATGTGGGTATGTGTGAATGAAATAATGCATGTATGTAAATATATAAGCGTGTATGTATGAAGTCATGTAAGTATGAGTACTTAAGTATGTAAGTATGCAAGTATGTAAGTATGCAAGTACGTGATCATGCAAGTATGCAAGTATGTCGGTATACAAGTATGTACGTATCTAGTTTACATGTACGTATGTATGTATGTATGTATGTATGCATGCATGCATGCATGTATGTTTGTATGTAGGTATGCATGTATGCATATATGAACGTGTGCAGTCATGCATGTATGCACGTCAGCCTGCCTGTCTGTCTGTTTGTTTGCCTGCCTGTTTGTCCTGTCTGTCCAGTCCATCTGTCTGTTTGTACGTACGTATGCATGTCTGTGTATATGCACACATACTGGTAGATAAAGCAGATGCGCGTTCAACAATGTAACAAACAGTTATAAGCAGGCAATGCAGTGTATGCTTCAACATCCGCACATGCATGCCGAGAGCCCAATACGAATACTCGTACCCATACCCCTTAAGGAATTATAGCGAGAAGGCGAGAAGCCCTGTATATTTAACAAGGTATGTTCCGCAATGAACGGCCATGGTGATGGGACTCTTTGGGTATTTGTTTTATTAGGCCCGTGCCGTCGACACGTGTAGCCTTCAAAGCCAACAGGCGAAGCCCTTTGCATGGTTGCACAAAACTCGTAACCAGTCATGACGATGCAGCATGACTGAACATATCAGATATTCATAGTTGTGCTAACTTATTTCCCTTCAGTGATGTTACTATTTCTTCGTGCTAGTCAACATCAAATGCGAGTCTGAGAAGGACGCGGGAGAGGCCTGCGCGCTGGTAGGCCACGACGATGGCCTCATTCAGCAGCGTGGCACAGCACTTTCCGCTTCTTGTTGAGTGGCAGTTGACAGCTTTGTCTTCAAATGGTTTCAGAGTTTGGGCTTTAGAGGTGCAAAGTTTACGGCTGTGAGCCTCAATCGTAACCAAAACCCCAAAGCAACATAAGCACTCGGGTCCTGCAGCTTGGAGCAGTGTTGCTTAGACAGAACTCGTCCCTAAACCCCTACACACCCTACACCCTGAACCCCAAACCCCCATTCCAACCTTCTGAGCCATGTGTTCTCTGCGGATGACATACTTCAGCTGCGATGGAGAGCATACCACTCTATCTGCTTTTCCAGGGGTTTAGGGGTTCAAGGGTTCTGGTTCTGGGATTTAACCTAAGCCGGAAGCCCCAAACCCCAAACGCGCTCAAAAGCTCAGGGCGGTAGCAGTTGGTTTAGAGTTCGAGGTTTTTAACAGGAAAGGCAGCACAGACCGCGGTTGAGTGTGTTGTTGAAGGTGCATGTGTAATCATTAGCATGGTGGGTTTTCCGCGTGTGCGAACATCCCGCAGCAGGTCGGCAGGATTTCGGGAGTTCGACCACCCCTGCATACAGGGGTCGGGTACTTGGAAATACTCTTCCGGAGGATTCCGGCTGTAACTATTTAGCTTTACATTATACACCGCAACCTTATTCCAATTACGGCGTGCCCTAGACCCGAACCCAAAACCGAAAACCCTAAGCCCTAAACCCCAAACCCCAAACCCGTAAACCTCAAACCTGCCCGACTACCTAAATGATCACACCCTGCCCGTTTTTTCGGGTCCTACTTGTCTATATACCAGATCCAAACCATGCAGCTGCGTACCTTGAACAAGGGGTAGGGCATAACCCTCTAGGTAGCGATGAAGGCCACAGCTATCCTGGTCTCCGCAACCGGTTAGGATTTAAGGCCCTAAGCTGAGGAGCCGCAACGCTGAACCCGAACGAACCCTAAACCCTAAACCCTAAACCCTAACCCCAAACTCAAGCCTTGCAACTCCCAAGCCAAGAGGGCCCTCTGTGCCGCAGCTATGGAATTCGGTGGTCCCAATAGGCCCTCCTCCATACCCCCATATGATTACTTGTGGATTTGTGGAGGGGCTTCTTTCCATACTTGCAGTCTTCCATGGGCCGTGCACCCTAAACCTAAACGCGCCTTCCTCAAGCCCCTGTAGACACCTTTGAAGAACCTTTACAGATCACCTTCACGAACCCTTATTATAGAAACCTTAAGCAGGATTTTCGCGGAAAAAAGGTCTGCTGCATAGTCAAAATAAAATCCTAATCCTAAAACCTGAAACTCTCCAATCCCGAACTAAAGCACTTTAAAGCCCTGAGCCCTAACCCTATGTAATCTATGCAACCGACATTCTGAAATCCAACACCCAGAAAAGCCCTAAACCTTAAAGAACCCAAACCCTACAACTCAACCCTGCAGTTTAAGACCGGAAAGGGTTTAGGGTTTAGGGGTTTAGGGTTTAGGGGTTTAGGGCTTAGAAACCCAAGTCCCTAAACCGTAAGCCCTAAACCCACCAGGCTACTAGACATTGCGACTGGAGCCGAGAAGCTGAAGCTGGATGGTCACAAGGAGCAGCGCTCCCACCCTAAACCCTAAACCCT